GCTGAAGGGCCATTGGGTCTGGGGCCGAACCAGCGAGGGAAAGAACAGAGATGGGATCCCAGCTTCCACCTTGTTTAGCTGACAGCCTCCAGGCTTTAATATAAACCACAGATCTAGCCAGATAAACGCTAGATTAGATGTGTTCTGATGTAAACGGAGCGTCCAGTGAGCAATGTAGATTGATCTTCTCACTCAGTAACATTTATTGAGCACATATGCACCAGGCACATCCAGAACCACCACGTAGCTCATGGGAGTAGCGCCTCTGGGGCCGAACAGTCCAGCACGGAGTCCCTACTTTTCCTGCCCTCATGGGACTTAACATCTAGAGGCGAGACAAACATAATGACCAGGGTGAAACTTGTCACACAAGGGAAAGGACAGAGCACTAAGGCCGTGAGCTCAGGTGCATCTGTTATAACCTCCTCCGGGGTATCAGGGAAGGCTAACTATATTTCAGCCAAGGCTAGAACAGCGAATGGGATTGGTCAGGATAAGTGAGGTAAAGGGGACTTTCCAGTCAAAGAATGGCCCTGTGTGTGTGGACCCAGAGCATGTGGCCCAGCAGCAGACCTGAAAAAGTACAGTCTAAAGAGAGCAGGGAGGGGAGGCTGAAGAGTAGAGGATGCAGGGCCTTATGAACCTTAAAAGGCAAGGGCAATGGAAAAGCATCAAAGGATTTTAAAGTAGGGGACTGGCATAATTAGTCTGGGGTTGTTAAAAGCTCAAGTACCTTATCTGGAAAATGAATGTAAAAATAATATATCCAGAGGTGTCAGTGTCATCCATTTCTTCCCGAGCCCGTACGTGCTAAATACTGATACATTACGAAGTGTTCTACAGGATGGAGACGGTGGCCAGGCAGAGCCAAAACATTTCAGGTTTCAGGTGTTTTGTCTCTAAATAGCTGAATAATTAATACAAATCCCCAGATAGTTCAAACAGCTGTCCTAAATCCCCGTGTTGGAGCCTGACCGTGGCAGGCTCTGTGTGTTGCCATGCCTCCACCTCTTCTGCTGGCCGTTTGTCAATACAGGGGGCAGTACCATTGATCTTAGCAGGTGCAGACTGACACAGAGCAAAGTGTATTAGAAATAGTACAGTTAAAACTGCAGATCACTCATTAGCCAAGTTAACAAAGAAACATCAACTGAGTCCGCTGATTACGCCCCAAAGAGAGGGATTCAATAACAGCTGTGTTGGAATGATGGCAAGCAAATGCCACATTTAGAAAATTAGGACTCTCTGGCCTATTTTAACGGGGATATACGCTCGTTGTTAACACCATCAAGGAATGAGAACAACAAGGAACCTAATAAATTAATGCGAGACTCCCCAGGACATCTAAACACAAGGTTATTAACAGAAAACAATAGAGGGGAAAAAAGGACCCGAACCTCCCGCGACTGCAGGACCACACACTGATATTCTATTTAAACATGTTTCAGTGTGTGTCTCTGCGGACACACAGTGATTCACATACAGCTCTTGGAAAAGCATCAACTTTTTTTGTGGCGCTGATTCTCCAAGAACCTGATGAGTTTCTTTGAGAGAGAAGTAGCTGCCCAATCTAGCTCAGCTGTACTCGATCTGAGTTGCTCTCCTACATATAAACCCTCACTTCAAAGCCGGGGACATAATGTACAATTTTTTAATGGCTCTAGACCCAGGCACTCAGGCGCTCTGCTCTGCGCCTTACCTCAGTGTAAACACCTAATCAAGATTGCCTGCGCTCCGACAATAGCAGCAAATGCAATTCGAGAACCACAAGCCTTTGAAGTCCTCCAAGGAAAGGCCGGTTTTCTAGTCTGGGATAATGACATGCCATGATTGCTGTCTTTGTTGTATCTTTTCAGTGGAGAAGCAATTATGGCCCCAATTTAACAGAATAGACATTACACAGCTTATGATGCTCAAAATGCAATTTCATTTGATCATTTTCTCGATTTGATTGGTATTAATAGAATGGTTCACCAAGGAAAAAAAATAAATAGCTAGCAGAGGTTGTGTCCCATTCCACTTTCAAAGAGATAATGTAGAAGTATGTTTTACTCACTCAGAGACTCAGTGGAGTGATTCAGACACCAAGTTCTACCAAAACAGCCTGTGGATGGAAATATTATACATCCTATGTTCTCTGGGGAAGGAAGCGTAGGACAATGTATTTTTCATTTGTAAAATTTTTATCAGAGCTCCATAAGGGATCCCATCGTTGTTAATCAAACAATTAATATCACCAGTGAAAAACCAAATTAACTAAGTCCCCTTTACAAAAGCCGGCATCAGACCCCCTAGTGGCAGATCTAGGAATAAACCCAACTTCTCCCAGGCTCCAGCTTGTCCAAGACATTGCGTGTTTGAGGTTTAAAAAAGGATGATTTCCTCGCCTGCTTAGGCAGCCTATTTAGATTTTTTTTCCTGCCCCTACCTTCATTTCTCCTCCAGGATGGAGTTGATTTTTCTTTTAAATGAGTTGTGTATCTGTTTAACGTCATGGCAGTAAGGGACTGAAGCCTTTGAGCAAATGATGACAGAAGCTGTGAAATCTAATACTTTTACTGTCATCCCATGTTTCTGGAACCAGTGAGGGACTGAGAGATGGAAACATGAGAAGCGGTTCCTGACCTTGGGCATTTATAACATTTACAACTCCAAACTTTCCATCTCAGCACAAGTTAAACTGTTCCACAGTATTGTGAAGTTTTCCATTTGCAGAGTAGGTAATCACTCAAAACCTGTTCATTACTTCCGTTTGTCATTTAAAAATTGCCATGATCCAATAGTACATTTTGTACCTTGTATTAGCGGTGAGAATTCAAACATGGAAAAAGTTATATTTTCATTTTTTCCCATTTTCAGATCCTTTAAGTACTGAAACTTTCACACTATTTCCCTTATTTGTATATATTAGTAGGGCAGTTGTGATGGGGAGGCATTCAGGGAGAGAGGGGGTTACATCCAAAACAAAAGGAACAAATAGTCTTTCTTGTGTCAGAGAAGCCACCTTGAGTGGTAAGGAATGAGGTTATCTTCACTGTCAAATGCCTGCTTACTAGTTAATATTTAACAAGTATTTTTGCCTCTTTCTGCATTGAATACTAGTCTGAATAAAAAGTCAGCAGCAGAGGGAGAATTTAAACGCAGCCATAACAGATTCTAAACCCCATGCTCTTTCCAGCGTTCCACCTTGCTACTTCTCACACCACACAGTTCACCAGGGGAAATTTAACAAAACAAGTATCAAATCCTGAATCTAAATTTTAAAATTAAGGACATCAGTTTAGAAATGGGGAGACCAGCATCTTGCAGGTGACAAAGCAGGGTGGCCACAGGACCCCATATGAATAATCTTTCCCAGGAGGAATGACAAAAACATCTTGAGAAGTCTTCTATATAAGAGAAGGCTTGGGGAAGGCATCTTAGGTTCTACCAGTTTAGGGCTGTTTTCCGACAGAGGGATTGACTTATTCTACGTTATTTCAAAGGGCAGAGGGATAGAAATTACAGACAGACCTATCACTGCTCTTATAAGGAAGAGCCTTATAGCATTTAGGTTTCTGGAGGATGGAAAATAATGTTTATCACTGATACAACAGAGATTCAAAGGTCTAACATTTTACTCCAGGGAGTGTTTGAAAGGACCAGGTCTCCCACAGAAAGGAACTGTTCACAAGCCACCTTGTTCCTTCTTTCTCCGTCAAGATCTTTAAACCTATACGAATAGTGACAAGCAGATAACTCCTGCCTGGAGAAGGGGCAAGTGATTAGGCAGTGAGGGGAGGAACGTCTACCAGGTGTACTGGATAGACGTTGTTGATAGAGGGTGTATTGGATAATTACCACCAGAATCTTTGCCAACATTACTATCGCAGAACTTTAAGTTTGTTTCTGAAATGCTACCTGGTGGCTAGAATTCCGTATAGCACAGAAGACAATCTAATTCCTTGACTTAAAACAGGTAGCTAATGAGAGCCTCCATAATTTGGGAACCTAAATCCATCAATAATTTGGGGACCTAAATCCATCAATAATTTTGGGACCGAAATCCCACACAGCTGCCTTCATCACTGGCTCCCAAACCTGTCTTCAGGTTAGACCCACCTGGGGAGCTTTTAAAGTATGAGACTTATATCTGGGGCCACTCCCAGAGCTTCTGATTTAATTGATCTGGGATGGGACCAGAACATTAATTTTTAAAAGCTTCCTAGGTATTCTAATATCTGTCTAAAGTTGAGCACCACTAACCTACATCATTCCAATTTATGGGGTGTCAAAACTACAAATTCTGCAAGTCAAAGATGATATTTCCAATAAGTGAGTTAACTTACAAAATCGCTAAATGCACAGTCTCTGGAGCTAGGCTGCCTGGCTCCTCTGCTTACTAGCTGTTGATTCTGGGCAAGTTACTTAACCTCTCTGTTCCTCAGTTTTTTCATTTGCAAAAAGGGGATAATAAAAGGTACATACCTGGTAAGACTGTTGTGAGAATTAACTAATGTATACGAAATGCTTAGGACAGCTATCATGAGCATTCAGTGTATATTAGTTATTTTTGTTGTTCTTATCATCATCTTGGGGTACAGTGTTATTTCATGATTTGTTTGGCATACTTAAACATTAGTTGCAGCATCCGGCTCAGATAACTGTTCGAAAATCAGGTCCCCTGAGTATGTATTGAGCATTTAAAGTATTGGGTTGGCCAAAAAATTCATTCGGGTTTTTCCCATAATCTGACGGAACGAATTTTTTGGCCAACCCAATAATTAGCAGTTTGACCTCAAGACACCAATTCTCACATCATCCCTGCAAGAGAAAACATTGTTTATTCCCATTTTCCTTGGGAATAATCCAGATACCTAAGGACTGAGATGAATCCTTGAAATGAACTATAAATAAAATGTAACCCTGCAGGACCTCTTTCTAGAGTACAGACTCGAGCCCCACGGCCATAAGACTAAAATGAATCCAGTTAACGTGCTGTATATGTTTTACCCCCTTAGATCTCCTACCCCGTCAGAGTAACTGACAAGACGTCTATTCAGAACACCAGCGAGATTGGAAATGTCACTATCGACCCTGAAGACAAATGGCATCAAAAAGCCCAACAGCTAAAGGTCACCTGCTAGATTGAATTTTAAGTGTGTTTCAAGGGTTACTGCTGCATCTAAGTGATGTTTGTGACTGACATCTTATCACTTAAGGGTTTATTCTTATGCTGAGAATAGCTACCTACCTTCTGATGGGTAAAAGACTGCCCTCTGCCCAGCTGGGTCACTACTTGCTCAGCGAGCCAACCCTACCCACTTTCCCAACGTTCCATTTCCTAGAGAAAAATCATCATATCACTCTTCAAACATTCAGAGGAATGGCATGGAGAAAATACAGGCAGGAAAAAAAAAATCACAGTTCCAAAATATTGTCCAATACTGTGCTGCTCCCCAGTCTGTCTCCTTTTGGAGTCATCAGTCATACAGTATCCCTAGGTGATGGGGGATATGGTCCCTAAAAATGGGTGGGAATCCCCAGAGCCTCACTGAGCCCTCGTTTGCAGTACATAAACGCCTACTACCTATTAATTTAGCGTGATGACATCCCTTTTTTTGGCCATGGGTTTACTACTTTGAAATCACAGTATGGTTTCAGGGAAGATTTTTATGAAACCGTCCCCACTGATTGTTTTTCTAGAAGAATCAAGAAAAGTTCTAGCAGCTGATGTCTTCTTAATCCAGTGTATAGTGTTACATGGGGCGGTTGCTCTTGTACCGGGTTTTATACCTGCTTCATAAGGGATAAAGCCCTTTGAAATCACCCAGCCTGGAGGGCCTGTTGACGTCATTAGTTAAAACTATGTACAGCGGAAAAGTAAGAAGAAGAAGAAGAAAATTCATTCCAGTTTCAGAAAAGTTAGAAAAGAGGGACGGCTCAAATCATCTTTTTGCCCCTGCAGTAGCCTCCAGGCTACTCTTAGAGTTGCCAAAAAAAAAAAAAAAAAAAAAAAAAACAGAAAGAAAGAAAGAAATGAAAACAGCCATTCACCTGAAGCTTCCTGAAAGCTGATGCCAGGGAGGCCACACCCAGAAGTTGGGAGGATGGGGACAAATGTCTCTTAGAAGTGGACCCAGAGGACAGGGTCTCCTACCAGACCTGATGGAGAGCCTAGGCAGCTCGGCCAACAGGATCGAGGGGACAAAGGAAACGCCTTAAGGCTTGTTACGTGGTGTGGGTAAAGGACTGGGTCAGAAGACAGGGAGCTCTGGGCCCTGACCTGCCATTTACTCAATGCGTGACTTGGGCAAATCTCAGCTTCCCCCGAGCCTTAAGTTTCTTTTTTCTTAAACGAAGCATTGGCCGAAATGAACTACAAGGTCCATCCCAGCTGCAAAATGCTATAAATCTATGATCCTTTATCTCTAGTTACTTAAATTACTATAGGAAACACAGTTGAAGCATGTAGGATCCTTGCAAACTCTAGCTTTCACACTTGTCACTAGGAGTCTCGGCCAATGATAAAATAATCAAGGTCAAATCACGGTGCTTAACGCATGGCATGGCCCTAGGCAGAGACAGTAAAAAACTTCGTACAGAAGAAACTCAGAAGAAAGCAAAAAGGATACTGTTTCATCTCTGAGGGTACAAGACTCATTTGTTTCTAACCCACTCCTGAGTAAAGGCAATAAGGAGCAAAGCATCTTAAGATTGTTGCATCTAAATGACAGCAAGACCGAGCAGCCCAAGGGATGTTTCCCTTTCTTTATTCGGAAAGGATTTGTTAGGTGTTCGCTGCGCGTCCTGCATGCTGGCGGTTCACTCAGTGTACAAACCTCCAGGCTGACTTTTTTTCTCCTCTTCAACTACCCACCTCGGGTGGCTTCTCTGTGGTCCCCCTCCTGCCTCTCCCACCCCTGTCCTGGTGTGCCTGTGGCTGGAACCACCCCGCCAGGGTTTAATCCTATTCGGCCATTGTCTCATTAGCTGTTGCCTGTGTTTCTTTTGTACCAACTACACGATAAGCTCCTTGAACCTTAGCATTGTATTCCTCTCCACCTCCTAGCACATTGCTTTACCCAAAGCTGATCTCAATATTTAATGGTTGATTAAAAAACCATTTAAAGGTCATTCAGTGAATCTCAAGTGAAAATGGGCCTCATTTGAAATCTTTTTCTTGAAAGATGATTTTCAAAGAATCTGCATATCCCTCAGTAAACTTACTCTAACAATGAGTAAGTCACTACTAAGAGATACCTTTACGTGAAATCAAAATAATTCAGACAACAAATATTTATTGAGTACCTACTATATTCCAACCACCAGCTTTTAGGTGACTAGCCCAAAAGACATGTTTTTTTTAAAAAACTCTCCAGAAAAGTAAATAAAACTTGAAAAAAGATCCTTTTTTAAAAAAAAAAAAAAATGATTCCTACCCTCAAGGAGCTTAAAACTTTTGGTAGTGGGAAGACAGTTATGTAATCATTATAATGCAGTGATATAAAAGTAGGTATAATTTAATTCTTTCTTTTAGTGTAACTAAAAGAGCACCTAATTCTGCCCTAAAAAGACAGGAAAAGCTTCCTGAAAAGAGATAGCACCTGAGCTGCCCCTAGAAGGATGAGTCAAAATACGCCAAGGAGACGAATGGGAGCAGAGGTGTAAAAATGCAGGGCAATCTAGTGTGTCCTGAGTATTACCCGGAGTTCAGTAGCTAAAGGGCAAAGCATGAGGGACACAGGGCTGGCCAGGTCAGTGAGGGGCCATGAAAGGCTTTTTATGCCGATCAAAAGATTTTCAATTTTATCCTACGGAGAGCAGGAAGCCATTGGCAAATTGTAAGCAGGTTAATGACATCATTGGGCTTGCATGTTAACACACTGCCAAGGTCTGAAGAATAGACTGGAAGAGAATAATAGAGATTGCAGAGACAGTGAAACCAGTCAGGCGACTTCTGCTGTAATTTCTGCAAGAGATGATGAGAGAACTGGAAAGGTGGCAGCATTTGCTCTGTTTGCCCCACACTCCACATGCCATCAGTTCACTTTGCCGGACGGTGGGTATATCTTTTTCCACTGGCTGGACTGAACTCCTGGCAGGTTAGGACAGCACCTGATCCCCCTCAGCCCCTGCCTTGAGGTGGTCAGGAAATGGAATGAACAAACTTAGCAATTGCTTAAATACAAGGTGAATGTGGGAGAGAGAAAGAGAATAGTTTCTGAGTGTCTGATTAGTGGCATCAACACCACTGAGCAAGAAAAGGAGGGCTTTGGTTCTGGGAATGAAAGAGGGCTGCGTGAGGCCAGCAGTGGGCCTGACGTTGAGTTAGGAGGTGTCTGTAGGGAGGAGGACCTAGAACTCAGGAGAGACATCTGAGTTAGCCTGTATACATTTGCATCATAAGAATTCCCTGGTGGGTTGCAGCCATGGGAATTGCTGAGCTGCCCCAGGAATTGTAGGTAGTGGGAGACGAAAGGAAGGTCAAGAACAGGGCCCTGGAGAAATTGGTAAGAATATTTTAAGGGAGAGCAGAGGTAGAGAAGGTAAAAGATTACAAAGGGATTGCCAGAGAGGCAGAAAGCTGGCCAGGATAAAACAGTGTCATGGAACCTGAGACATGAAAACTTCAAGGAAGGGAAATCAGTGAACAGAGAAGACAAGTAAAAAGGTGCCACGAAAAGGGAGTGATGTATGCAACTCATATATGCAAGTTGCAAATGATTCAGACAAACTAAGTAATGATGATACAAACAATAATACTATAAATGATAGAATGTAGATCTGTTTCTCTACGAATGGAGAGTGGGAGATCTACAGAAAGAGAGAGAATGAAGAAATGCGGCTAAATGTTAAAAAGTGGTGGATCAGTGAGGATATTTGGGGGTTCTCTGTGCTATTCTTGCCATTCTTCTATAAGTTTGAAATAATTGTGTAAGTTTGAAAAAATAGAAAGTTAAAGAAGATGGTACCATAGGATTTAGCACTAAAAGGTCATTGGTGGCCTGAGCAAAGCAGTTTCAGTGAGAATAAGGGCTCTCCTGCAGGGTACAGAGGTCAGGATGAGAGCTGGGGAAATGAAGACCAGCCTACATTTTAAGATGCCTGGCTGTGGATTAAGAGATGAGGTTTAACCAGAGAATGAGATCAAGTAAGGGATTGTTTCATTTTTTTTTTAATAGAAGAGGTTTAAACACATTTATATGCTGAAAGGATCAGAAACTGATCAGATAGAGGACAAGAAAAGAAAGGGTGATATGCTGGAAACAAGGTCCCTGGACCATTTAAGCCTGTGTGTTTTCACTTTAAAAATACTGAGAATTCAGAGCTCCCACCGCAGGAGCTTCAGCCCAACCCTGGGTTCATGAACCAAGATCCCACGAGCCTCCTGGGGCAGCCAAAAAAAATAAAATAAAATAAATAACAAAGTAAAAAATAAAATTACACTAGGAAACGAACAGATATGTTAGGAAGAATATAAAAATAAAGAAGAATCAACGACCAGAAGGTACAACAATATCACAATAGTAAAAAAGAAGAAGAGAAAAAAAAAAAAAAGGGTGGGGGGGAAGGCCCTGGCTGTGGAGGGTGGGGCCTAAGAAAGGGTGAGGTTTGGGCAGTGGGTGGGGCAAAATGCTCAGGACCCACAGGGCTGAAAAAGGCCCTGGGGGCTGTGGAGGGTGGGGCTTAGGCTCAAGGAACAGAAGGGGCCCAGGGTGCCCTCCACCCCTGGTCTCAGAGGGCAGAGGACCTCACCTGGGAGCCTAGCAGGCTTCCTGGGCTTGAATGGGCAGGGCAAACGCCCTCCTCTCCTCTCCTGCTCCTCCGTCTGGGAGGGCCCCTCCTGCCTGCCTCTCCTGATCTCCCTGTCCCCCCTCCTATGCCCGCAAGGAGCTATGCAGCCTGGAGAGGGCTTTGGAGGGCAGGGGATCGGCCTGGGAGGTCAGCAGGCTCCCCAGGCCCGAGTGGGCTGGGCAATTGCCCTCTGCTTCTCTCCTGCTCAGCTCCTCCCGGAGGGCCCCTCCCACCTGCCCCTCCTGATCTCCCAGGCCTCCCTCTTATGAGCCACTGAACTAACAGAGAAACTTAGACCCCAGGGAATATTCATCGGAGTGAGGTCTGACGGAGTTCC